TGTGTGTGTCTTGTAACACAAAACGCAGACACAAACATTTAACGGCCAAACACTATTACCATCCCCTTTGCTATATTCTGACCTTTTCTTTCTTTCTGTCTCTTGTAGCCTCACCCTCTTGTCCTCTTTCGACATGACGTTTGGCGAACACCCAAACCAGCTTGTGTTTGCTTCCTCTGCTCCTCTCCCAGTAATGACACACTCTGTGAATCTTTGGATTACACAGCTCATTAATAATACACTTCATACACCCACGGAAAAGAAAAAGAATCTCAAACACATATTTTACCACTCACATGCAAGCACGCACACACGCACACACACACACACACACACACACACAGCCACAATGCCTCTGAGCTATGATGTGATCATATCCCTGAGTATATCATAACGCTGATTATTTTTAATTACAACACGGCCTTTAACTGTGGAGCTACAACAGTTACACAAACGAAAGCCCTAATCAAGTGGCTCCCCGGGCCTCCCGTCCAACTGCGGATCTCAAAAAAACAAACAGACGGCGTCACAGCCCCGCTCGCCTGCACCACAAAGCACACGTCAGCGCCCAACATTACCCCGCTGTGATGTCATGTCCTCTAAATGCTCCAGACAGTTAGAGTGAGTGAGAGCAGGAGGACCGCATGAAGGAAGTAAAGACACACACAGTCACACATGCAAATACACACACAAATGAATGCTGTATGCACACATGTGTGGAACAAGGGCCCATGTGCACGCTCACTAACAGATCAGGAATACAGAGCAGGGGTGTGATGGTGGTTGGAGTGAGAGAGAGCAGGAGGACGTGCAGAGCTGCGGTTGATGTCAAGAGCAAGGCTTTGGATATTGCTACGGTCAAGAGGGTAATGATGGGTGAGGGCAGGGTGAGAGAGGGGGTGAGTGGGGGACACTAGGGCATATAAATGTCACATTGCTGCAGTGATTTTTCTGTCAGAGCCTGTGGTTGTAACCTTAGCCTTCCTTTCACTGCTCTGCTATGCAGAATAAGGGCGCTCAAATCCCAGGGCCAGGCATACGCAGAACGTGCGGCTCATTGGCCGGGCCAAGTGTACGCACACACACACAGACACATGCATACAAACACACACACACCTTTGATCAGGCACTCATGTAAACATGAACACAAACCATACAGAAATTAAATGCAGATACAAATTAGATTTATGGCTGTTTATTCACTATACACTGCATGAATAAAGCAAAACCAGCTTGACACACACACCTACGCTAATGTGCCAATAAGAGCAACCATTTAGTCCTGTCCACACTGAGTTCATAGAGGCTTCGCAGGAGCCACTCTCCAGCTGGGGGATACAGATACTAATCAAACACGACAGATGGACACACACACGCACATGCACAGACTTCTATAAAAGTTTGATGTAACCACACCATGCCCAGAGACGCCATGTAAGAAAAAAAACAAAACACTGCATCAATTATCACATCAAAATTCAGTCTTCATCAGCACAGCGGGATTTATTGCAGGCAGGGGGGAGCCAACAGCAAATAGTCCCTAACTCATTGATCAGTCCGTCATCCAAGACAAACATGGTGATGCTGATGAGCTGTGATCTGATGGAACTCCACAACGCTCATGATACTTATAGCGGTTCTCAATCCAAATCCAGCGCAGAGACCTGGGGACAGACCGAGGCCGCGGGCCAATGATGTTGCTTTCCTGCGAGCCATGATATGGTGAGACCACCTACTCCGCTGCAATCAGCCCGCCTTCTCCCTCCGTTGCCTCCCTGACCTCCAATCTTGCTTTTCTCCTTCCCTCGCTTTCCCTCCCCTCCTGCGTCTCTCTCCGCTGCTGACTGTCCATTCTGTTAAGCTGGCCTACGCTCTAAAAACAGCCTGGGTGCTTTTGAGTGGCAGAGGCGAGGCGGGGGGGCTCCGGGGTCTCCATTTAGCCACTTCCTTCTCAGAGGGAGCCAATGTGTATGCCCCTCCAGGCCATTGCTTAGCTTTCCATGTGTAACAGAATGAGGCATTTTTCGTAAACTTGACGAGCTGGCAGGGCTCAGGTCGCAGCTACAAAGTCGGCTGAATATGCAAATGTTGAAAAATCTCCCTCAGCATGTTTGCACAAACACAGAGTGGAATGCTAAATATATGTGCCTATGATTTGTTCTGGTTTTGTTATTCAATATTTGGCTGATGAGAGTTCAATGCCTGCAGAAAAGTGATGAACTACAAGCTGGTGAATAATGTGCACGATTCTTTCCAAACATATACTGCACGCTAAATCTAATCAGAGCACACAAACAATGAGATATAGTTTCTCACACACAAACACACACATGGACAAACACACGCATTATTAGTACAGCTGGCTGTCAGGTCTTTAAGCTCACCAAGAGGTCCATACTGAAGGCTACTCTTCCTGTCACAGTATGGGGTATACAGCTAAATCAGTGTATGTGCATATGCGTGTGTGTTTGTGTGTGTGTGTGTGTGTGTCAGTGGAGAGGGTATGTTTTCAGCTGGCACCTCTCAACCTTGGCAGCAGCGTGTCTCCTGGCACCCACAGGAGCAAATTTGTCTTTGGGGTTTGGTTCAGTTTTCGTCTCACATGTATGTGTGCGTGTGTGTGTGGGTACATGCATGTGTGGGTGAGGTAGTCGAGAGGCCTGGTCATTATCACCACTGCAGCCACTGAGCATGTGGCCAGACTAGCAGGGAAAAGGGTAACTCAGGGCGGAAGGAGGAGGTAAATGAGGACAGAGCTTATAATTAGAGGCCGAGGGGTGAAAAGAACGACCACATTTAAAAAAAATCGAATGCAAACAGACAATTCACACAATAAATCATAAAATTCTTCGGAGCTCAATTCTGAAAAACAAACGCCAAGTCCTCTCTCCTTTTTTTTATTGTTTCTCTAAAATTAAGATATTCACTACTGTAAACTTATCCTCTGTGCAAACATGAGAATACATGCACACAGTAAGTTGCAGGGCTGATATTTTGTTAGTCGCCCAGTGGAATGCTGTATGAATCGTATGTGTGTTTTCCCAGCTTGTCTTAGCTGTGGCGTGTTGTGGTCACCGGGCCTGTGTGTGGTCCTGGTGTGGTTCAGCTGCTCAGAATCATTTCCATTTAAACATATCTGTGGTCTTCAAAGCAAACCACCACTGTTATCCACTCCATTGGAGGCAACACCAAGAGCATTGCCCTCTGTGTGACCGCCTCTGTGTGTGTGTACTCTGTGTGCATATAGTACGTGCTTGTGTTAATGCACCGTTACGACTGTGAGTGCATGCACAAATGTTGCGATTTACTGTCATCTGTCTTCCGGGTTATTAGCAAAAGAGATCTCTCATGTAGTCAAGATAATGGAGAGCAAACAGGATTGGAGGAGTGCGAGGGCTGATGGATGGGTGTGTTTTTCTACTGCAGGGCCCCTTCAGGGCATTGTGTCCCAGTGATCAGTGGCTCCTCTCTCAGGGGTTCCTTCCCACCACAAACAGCAGCGCAGTTCGGATCATTTGGGAAGGAATGTGGACGCCTTCTCATAAAACACCTTCATTGATGTTTCCCTCGCTCGCTGCGTCTTTGAATGTGTCTCTTTTGATGGACGGGGGTTATAGGTGTGACCTGGCTTGTCCACGTTAACATTTCTTTACCGAGCCAAACCTGTGAAGGCACACATGTCTGTTTCTATAAAAAAAAAAAAAAAAAGAGGCAGACAGAATACATCTTTTTCTTTTTACCTTATTTTCTTTTTCAGCTGCTATTCCTTTTTTCTCTAGAGCCCCAACTGAATCTCATTGTCACCCATGTTTGCTAGATCAGGACGCTGTGTGTGTGTGTGTGTGTTGTGGGAAATCTGGAAAAATGTGCCTGTACACATTTGTGCAATTTTTTTAGCATCTGCATGGATTAAGTTCCCCCCCACCTGTGTGTGGAGAAAACAGTTTATAGAAAACAGAGATGAGGATTTATCAGTCACAGGAGCTCAAGGTGGCAACAGGGTTTCTATTGTGGCGTCTGCCCAGAAAGAAGATTGCTTTCTGCCTTTTGTACACACACTGAATGCACTTTCCCATAACTCATCTGGCAAACAGGAAGGAAACTGACCAGATTAGATCCGTGTTGACTCAAAACACCTCTGATCCCATTATGCTGTGATAAGTGGCCCATCAGCAAGTCAGGGAGTCTTTGGACCATAAAAAGAGGAAGAGAGCAGGATGAGCTGAGAATGATTAGAGACTCAGACGGTTCTGCTCGAGGCACAAGATCAGCAAAGCAGTTTGAGCGCAGGCCGCTGGGATGGTGAGAATTACCTCGTCAGGGGAGGAGGAAGTGGTAGAACTGGCGAGCAGAGAGGTGGGGAAAGAGATACAGACGAGGCATTTGCACTTGTGGACCGCAGGAACCTTGGTGTTGACGTGGAGACCACAGCAGAGTGGCCTCCTTCTGGGACTGATAGAAAACGTTTGTTGTTATTGTTTTTACTTATTGTGCTCCACACACACACACACACACACGTTTGTCAGAAAATGTGATTGTTTGCATCTATTTTCTAAACAAATACAGATGTATGTTGTGGTTGGCCTTCCATTTCCAGTGTCATGGTCTTCATTGTGTGTCTTTGTGTGGGGGATGAGCCTCTGGGAGAGGCAGAGGCAGAGACATGAATGACAGAAGAACAAAATGCCAGATGCACACGCACACAAATGCATGCATGTGCGCGCACGCAAAACACACAAAAAGAAATCCAGCCACATCTCATGTGGAGGCCGAAAAGCAGCCAAACATTCCCCTTAACATTTAAGCAGATACCGTATTAATCAGTCAACAACAATAGAACAATCTATAGGGATGAGAGCTGAGCTTTCATAATAAGTCTATTGTTCTTGTCAAGGTCTGTTTTTATAGAAGAGCCTCTCAAGAACAGGGCTTTTAACGACAGCATCGATTTTATACATCATTTTATTTCAAAAGTACACAAACAGGACCAATATCGTTCAATAAGGCAAAGCTCAAATATTAATAACCACTCACATCAGAGGACTCAAAATCTCATAGTCACAGTTTATGGGTACCACTTGCAAATCATAAATAAAACTCTTTATCTTCATATTTATAACCAGAGCTTTTTTTTTTTTTTTTCTCAACATGAAAAAAGATCATTACAACCCCATTACAACCCCAGCCACATATAATCATCTTCAGTATTATTTTTTTTCTTCTGAATCATTATTGTCCATGAAAAGTCAGAGTGGGCAGAGGAAAGGTGCGCCTGTCTTTCTCCACATTGGTGTTACGTGGCTCTAATGCCCAGTTCCAAGCCCAGCTACAGAACCAAGCCCTTAGCTGCTACCTGAAAGGACTGAGCATATAGAGGTGAGTGTCAGTGGGTATAACTGGGACACATGTGCAGTTTTAAGCTACTAAGTGCATTGTAAGCTTTATAACTATGTCTGAAACTTTGCATCTCCCCAGAAAACTTTCCGTGCAGCTCGGGCTAAAGCACACTAATGATCACTATTCAACAGGTATCCATTCTCAATCCTTTCAAATAAGTACCTTGTAGGGACGCACCTCTGGGCTTGGGGCTTTGTAGGTGGTGAGTTGAAATTGGGCACATTTTTATTAGGGGCAGCAGGAGTGCTCTTTTTCTGTGGCATCGTTGCAATTCTTTTGTGTGCAGAGCCAAGCCGATCCAAGTCGAGTGCTGGATGGAGAGGCGTGGCCAGCTCTGGTCACCTGGGGAACAGAGCCAGCAGGAAGCAGAGCAGCATCGCCGCAAGAGACGGAGTGAGAGAACCAGCGCCTCCACACTCCATTGAGTTTTCCTGGAGACAGAAAGAGGCATTGTATGGACTGATATGGAATAATTTAGTAAACAAATAAAAAAGCATGAATTAATGGAGGAGACATTGTAAAAGAGCACTCTGTGTGTGTGTGTGGTGCAAATACCTCAGGGTGAAAGGGGTGACAGGTATCTGGGCGCCTCCTGTCCTTTTGCATCTTCAATCTCTCGCACTTAAGAGATTCATTATGTGCAGCTGAAGTCAAGGTCAATAATTCAACAGCAGACTGTGTGTACCCTCTGCAGGGCGTTTTCCTGCTCAACTGTATTTCTTGTGCATAATGGAAAGGAATGCATTATACCATAGAACGAGGTAGGGAGATTTTCCATAGAGCATGATGTGCAAAAAGAAAAGGCTTTGAGCAATGTTTGATGATTTTTTTTTTTTTGCATGACAACATGCAGGTTTTTGGCAGCAAGATCTCTACAACAAAATAATCAGTGGTTGACATATAAAATATATGTACAGAGCATGAATCTACAGTGAATTAAACCTGTGGTAGGGTGCTGTATTGGATTCAGATTCATCCATCCATCCATCCATCGGCAGTAAACTAAGTAAGGTATTCCAGAAGTCCCTCCCGCCAGCAACGACTTCCAGCTCTTCCTGGGGGATCGTGAGGCCTTCCCAGGCCAGATGGGATACATAATCGCTCCTGTTTCAGATGTTGTCCCACACACTGTCCCAATCTCTTTCATTCTCAGAAGAGGCACGGGGCAAATAAACTCCCCGAAGCTTCCCCACAAAATAAATGCTCTTCATTATTCCCACCAAATTACCTCCATGGACATATGCTGGCTATAATGTTTCTGTGCAGGAAGAAAAGAAACGGGTCCAATAATAATAAAAACATAAGGTAATAAAGATGATGAGGTAATAGTGATATTTTTCTCGGTGGGGAGAAACAGTCAATCTAGGAAATTTGCAACAGGTTGGCTGTATCACCCATTTAAGATCACATTCAAGAACCATCCATTCAATTATTTATTCATTAGATTGTTCATTCATTCTTTATAAACCTCTACCCAGCATGTCTTGGGTGGAGACGCCACTCTGAATCTTATCAGCAAAGCGACACATCCCCTCCCTTATATTATAGTATTATAGTATTTAATGCGTTTGATGACAGTATAACTCATTCTCAAGTCCCAGTTGTTTCTTTGATCCAAATCATGAAAAGGCCATTTTCTTTCATTCAGGAGAAATGAATCAAAGAAACTTTGCAAAGTGTTGTCCTGCAATAACCTCCCAACCACCCCCCCACCCCCAGCTCTCCAGTCTTTGGCCAGCGAAGGATATACATGATTTCGATGGGGTCCATGGTGATTGGCTCGAACATGCTGCAGTCGCACTTGCTGTCCACCACCACCATGAAGAGATTACTGCTGGGGATCTGCTGGATCACAAAGGACCTGCCAATCACAGTGCAGACAGCCAGAAACAGGGAGATGAGTCAGGGGGGGAGAGGAGAGGGAGCAAGCGAGGTCAGAGTTGGATTGGCAAGTAGACAAGGTGCATGGTTATGATGTAAATTTCCATGTGTGTCGGAGGATTTGTGTTACGAGTGTTCACATTCTCCCCTGGTAGAGGGGAGATGAACTGAGGAGACTTCACTGGATGGATGTCAAGAAGATGACTGGTCTCACCGCCAGCTGTCAATAAACAGACAGAGACGTAGACGCGCTCACAACAAGAGACACACAGATAAAGTACTCTAGCATATTTCTCTAACTCACTCCATCCGCTCTTCTTCCTCATCCTCTTCCCGTCTTTTGTCTTTGTTATATTCCATCCAAGGCGAGCACCAATGAAGTGTTACTGAATATAAAACACTCCAAAGGCAGACAAATGGGAACCACACTTCTGTGCTCATAGCTTCCCATGGCTGTGTTTTACTGGACTGAAAGATCAGGCCTCGCCTCAGCCTCCTGGCCAGTGATTTACGACCACGGATAAGCTTTATGAAGAGGAGAGGTCATAAAGATGATCTCTTCTTTCTGTCACCCTTTCTTTCTTTATCTCTCGCCTCTCTCCCTTCCTCTCTTCTGCCACAGCTGGGTGATTTATCAAGTTCTCCGCGAGGCATTTATCAGACACGTATGAGAACATGCACGTGTGATGGAGCGAACACACACGGATGTAAAAATAGATGCTTGTGCACTTTCTCGACTCGTGTCAAGGAGGACAGGAACTAAGACAAAGAGGGAGAGACCTGATGGATCAAAACAAACTTAATATCTACGGGAATATCTCCATCCTCTAATTTAATACCATGACCAATTTCATCTGACCACAAATGGCCTCCAATCCCTGAGTAGCACCAATCCACCGCACCGTAATGCAGTTATCCCACCGTGACCGACCAAACCCAACCAAACCAGCCCAGCAAATGGGCCAAGCCAGTTCCAATCAGGGTGAATTAGGATCTGCTGATGTTTAATAATCCTTGCTCACCCCTGCACAGTGCCGGGCCCGCCCAACTCAGCCCGCTGATAGAAAGCAGAGCAAGTGATCTTGGAGAAAAGACTTAAATGTATCCTGACAGCACAGCTGCTGGCCTTGAACATACTCGGTGCTGGGAAAGGGAGCGCTACACCCTATACGAATGCACACACACATACATGAACGTTTACAATACACTGTGCATAGATTCACAGAGACAGATATCCGTGCACGCTCTCTTGCACAAACACAGACGGCATAGACAGATATTCTAGACATGGTGTCCTAATGCTGTTTCTTCCAGGGATTTTGGTCAAGAGAGAAACAGAACAGAGACATGAACACAGAGACAGAGTGACAGAGAGGAGGAGAACCATCTGAGCGACATAAAGACTGACGGCAAGAAAGATAAATCAGCAAAAGAGAAAGAAATCAAGAGTTAGATTGATGTAACAGCTGATGTACTGTAATAAAAGATAAAGAGACACGATGGCATGATGACAGATTGTGTCACAAATCGCACAATCTGTTGCTGATCTGATAAAATCTTGTACAGATTATCGTCAGATTTTTGGTCACTGAGAAAAATGTTTAAACTTTGCAGCGTTATCGTCACTGATCCTCATTTTAGTGGTCAGAGCTTCAACGAGATGAGTTTAACCACGGCACATTTACTAAACAGGTTTTTTGCACTTTTCATGTTTCACATTTTCTGTGCTCAGCTTTGGCTTAATGAAATACTTTGTGTGTGTGTGTTCTGTGGATAAGTTTTCCAACAATTTAATCACTGGATAACTGAACCATAACTGCACGCACTCTATGGCTTTAAGAAATATCTGTCATCACCATTGGGAAATGTGACCAGTAATTACTGTGAGTAATTTAACAATTATTAATTCAGTGAGCTGAAATTGCTCCAATAAAATCTCAATAAACACACTGGTGGGTTTTCAGAGTAATGCCGTCATTTATTTCCATTTCTCGCTATGACTTCTGGGGAAAATGGGCACCATGAATATAGAATTGAATTTATATTTTCAAGGGGATGGATACCATGATACTTTTCTATAGATTTAATTTTCCTTTATATTTCTATCTACAAGAAGCTCTAGGTGCAAACGCCGCGATGGATATGTGGCTGAGAGAGATTAGTCATGAGAAAAATCATGTTACATGAAGACAAAATGT